TGGGGCTAAGAGGCCTCAGTGCCCCCCTTGAGATGGGGGAGTCCCAGCCCCCTCCCCAGCTCCTTCTCCCCTGCTTTCCAGACAGGAACTAACTAACCCTCTTCCAGCCCTGCCCCCAGCCAGGGCAGCATCCACCTCCCTTTGTTCCTCTCCATGGGGGGTGTCTGGTTCAACCAGTTTGTCACCTTTGCATAGTGAGGTTTTCCCTGCTGGGTCTTGCTCCAGACAGCAGGGGTCACCACCGCCCAGCAAGTCCCCCCCCTACGTCACAGGGCCCCGAGCGATTTACTTCCACTCTCTGGGAAGGGCGCTTGGCCCTCGTGCTCCAGGGCATCGTCTGGTCTCCGCCCAGCAGGATCAGGAAGGAAATGGCCCCACAGGGCAGCCGGGGGGGCACACCCGGCAATAGGCCTGCGGGAGGCGCGACAGGGAATTAGACAGGCCAGCGATTTGATCCCGGGAGGCGCCGGGAGGAGGGACTGGGTGGGCCAGCGAGCTGACATCGCTGGGCCAGAGATCTGTGGGGCTGCAGGAGCTCAGACGGCTTGTGGGCCTGCCAGGGCCTGGGACCCAGCTCCGAGCCCTCCGCACCCTCTGCCAGAGGCCCCGGCCTCGGTTTCCCTCTCTCACTGGCCTTCTCCCTCCCTCAGGATCCAGGTGAATGACCTCATCGTGGAGGTGGACGGCACCAGCCTGGTGGGCGTGACGCAGAGCTTCGCAGCCTCGGTGCTGAGGAACACCAAGGGTAGAGTCCGGTAGGGGAACGGCGTGCGCCCGCTTGCCGCGAGCCGGGGAACACGGCGGGGCAGGGCCGGCGTGCTCCCGCTTGCCGCGAGCCGGGGAACACGGCGGGACAGCGGCCCCGGGGCAGCAGACGGCGCGCACCCTGTGCCGGGATAAGCCGCGGCCTGCCGCCGGCACGGTGGAGCCTGTGATCTTCCCTCACTGGCGCCCTGGGCGCAAGCGCAGTGTCTCCAACCACGTCTGTGCTGGCCCTGCTCCCCAGCAGGCTGGGCAGGGTAGAAAAGAGAGAGATGCTTTTGGCAAGCCACACCCACTCTCGGCAGGCCACACCCACTATCTAAAGCTCCCGCCCCCAATTCCAGATACGCTGGATTTCTCTGTTTCCATGACACAATCCCTCACTGGCGCCCTGGGCGCAAGCGCAGTGTCTCCAACCACGTCTGTGCTGGCCCTGCTCCCCAGCAGGCTGGGCAGGGTAGAAAAGAGAGAGATGCTTTTGGCAAGCCACACCCACTCTCGGCAGGCCACACCCACTATCTAAAGCTCCCGCCCCCAATTCCAGATACGCTGGATTTCTCTGTTTCCATGACACAATGAACGTTGTCAGTGTCGTCATTCCGCTTCAGAGTCAACACGCTCCGCTGCGATCCCTGGGGCCGTTTGCACCTCGCAGAGCCGTTGGGCTTGGTTGAAAGGGGAAGCTAAGTGGCCTCGCCCTGCCCCCACCCCCGTTTGTGTGTACACGGCACTAGCACAAGCAAAGGCCTCGTCTCGGCTGCCTGAGGACTGGGGCTCCGCAGAGGCGGGTCAGAAGGGCTCCTGCTGGCCAGCGCTGGGGGGCCCATTCCCGTTCCCAGGGCGCCTGCAGGAGGCAGCAACATGGCTGGGGTGGGGTGTCGACAGGGCCACTGTGGCTCCAGCGGGTGGGGAGTAGGAGACTGCTTCCAGGCAGACACTGCCCAGGGCCCCACGGCACCCACCGTGGCTCTCCTGTAGCTCCAGCTGTACCTAGGGGTTGTGGGCGGGCAGGGGTAGCTCCAGGGATAGCTAGGGGCTGTGTGGGGGGGGCAGCC